CAATTGCCTGGGCCTTCCGAACAAAATCAAGTAAATCCATTGCATATGCCATGCCAACTATGTTGTCAACAAGTTGCTCAAAAACAGGTACCTTGTAAACAAAAATCTTTCAACAAGTTTCTTGAGGGAGACAAAGCCTTAGAGATGAATTACCAATTCCCTACCTTGTGAGTCACCCACAGATGTTGGAAATAAACAATAGTTGCACTTGCATCAATTGCAACCATTATCAACAAGGGGTGTCATTACCTCTCTAACATGAGCATCCTTCATCTCTAATACACTTCCAATCATATCCTGCAAGGAATTCATAAAGTTAGAGCATCTAAACTGCAAACAAGCAGAAAGATACCTGTTGGTAAAAAAATTAAATTGAATTTCCACTAGAATCTGATTTTAAAACAGAAATTGGTAGAGAAATATATGGCAAGGAAAAGATATGCTCTACTGTAAACGTGCAACCACAGTCAAGCATAGATGATACTGATCAGTTTGATCTCAGTAAAAGAATTCAGAAACTGAAGAAACTTTCTAATTCTTACTTGAAACAAAAGAGACACTCAGGCTAGTACAATAAAGAAATATTAGCTTATTTCACTGCTTGCTCTTCCTCCTCTATTGCTCCACTCAACTCTGCCCCACCTAGCATCAGCTTTAATTCATCTTCAGTAACATAAGGTTCGCCAATTTAAAGAGAAAACATGCAAAGCATTCATAAAGCAGTTAATACAAAGTTAACAAACAACTAGAAACCAAAAATGTAATAGACAAAAACGAGAATTTGATTTCCTTCACTTTTTCCCTTTTAGACCATGTAATTTAAGCATTCCCATTGATAAATAAGTAGCAAGTCTTCCCACTGGATATAGTACCAAGGAAAGCCATGCCACTGGCCTGACCTAGTGACACAACAAACAGCATTAGCCAAAAATTTTAATTTGTTAGCAATCATCAGCTAAGTATAAAAGAGTTAAATAGTTGATTTAACACCAGCTTCTCCAAATATTGCAGTTGCTGTGTCTATAACTAAAGCAGTTGCTCCAATATTGACCACCATAGTGACAAAAACAGAATCTAAAAATAAATCACACACCAAAGTTAAACATGGACACACACAACTGGATCAGTTAAGTGATGATGGGAAAGACTAGTAGGTTACATCACTGTGAAGCATTTGAAATACATCATTTTCACTCTTTTTCAGCCAGCTTACGAACCTGACACAAATTAGCATCAAATCACCAATGAGACCAAAGTATCCCGATGGCTTGGTGACGTTAAAAAAAAAAAAAAATTCTTGTTCTTCCATGAGTTAATATGAACCACATGAACATATAAGAAACCAGCATCATCCTCCAAACCAAAAAAGACAACAGTAATACTGCTGCATGAACTTCACAATCACGATTTGAAATAGCATATTAGATTAATCTTTGCTAAATTTAACCCAATATTTAAGTCGGCAAATGCCATTGCACAACAACCACAAACTTCATATATTTATCTAAACCATAAAAGTTACTGAAACACTAACAATCAACAACTGTGAATGTTCTTCAACTTCATATATTTATCCTTTTCAACTTTTTTGATGTTTCCATACTGAAACTCAGATTTCAATTGCTATTCACTAATTATAAGAACCATCAATCTTCAAACAAAGAAAGCAAATCTTACATGGCCACAGTGTAGTTATTGAAGTCTCTGCCATTGAGAAGAATGCAGATAAACCTAAAAGTGCAGTCAGAATCACACCTTGCTCTTTGAAAATCTTAAGAACCATAGAAACCTTAGGCCATGCATTCCTCAACAACAATGCCCACTGCTCAATCACTCCGTACTTTGCATTCACCACTCCCTCCACCGCGAGCACTCTCTTGCATGCGAAAACCAAAAGACAACAAAGCATTGCCCCAATAAAGACTCCCAGCTTCAGCAAAATCTTCAGAGACTCCAAATCCAAGCCTAAAACCTCACCTTGGTCACCACCCAGATCATTGTTTTCTTCACTTAACGATGTCAAATGAACTCCACTGCCAATAGTGTTAGGTCTCCGCAATCTCAAACTGTAAATTCCCCCAAAATGGACGGATTGAAACAACTGGAGACTATACGACATGGGAAGTGATTACTTTTGGATGATAATTTTATTGAGCATTTCAAATTTTGATTGTGTTGCACGGAAGACGAACACTTGGATCGGGAAATGGAGGAGGGTCGCTTGATAACAGCGGATTCAGGTGCCATAACCCCCACAATAGTTATAGGCTTATAGCTGAAGGAAAATGTTAAAAACTTCAAAAATAAAATAAAATAAAATAAAGATTCAAAATTGTATTCCCTTTCCCAATCCTATTCCACCTTGTTCCTGTTGAAACTGTGCGTGCTTGGTGATGAGGTAAAAATAGACATTAAGGGAAGATAATACGGGTATTGATGGATTTGCTGCAGATGGAACGGAGGAGATAGGATTCATAATAGAAGAGGAACCCTAAAGAGGTGAAAGTGAGCTGAGTTCGTGATGCTGATAATGTTCCTTCATCTCGCCAAAGGGAGGCTACTTCCGTTGCTAAAAGCCAGTGGGAGAGAGGGACTAAAATCAAAATCACAGGACTTACCCTTCCCAAATTTACAATGACAGGACGATAACCATCCAAAAATCCAGGTTCCACGATTATGAAATGATTCCATCAAAACAAAATCCCACCTCAAAATTCAAGCTTATCCTTCAGCCTGACAATGTAAAGCAATAATTTTTATGACCGTGCTAATGGAAATCTCAAGAACAAAACTGTAATGAACAAA